AAATTTAACAAAATAATTGATAGAAAGACTAAAAAAAATGAAAAATGGACTAAAAAAGTACATAAAAAAGTTAAAGGATGAAAATTATATACAACATTAAAGTTGAGGACCAAAAATGAAATTTACCTTTTTAAATTTGAATTGAATTATACGGACAACTTCTGTGTACCGTTATTTGAAATGGCTGTTGTAGGCAATTAAGAAGCCCTTGGCCCAAAACGACGTCATTTTGGGCTAGGGAATCTTTTTTTTTTTTTTAATTTGTAGTGTGTACCTGCTGAAATTTTGGTGAATTGACCAATACACAGAAATTTCAGTCGGTACATTGAATTTTAATCGAAATGACTGAATTTTGACCGAAACAAAAATTAATATTATACCGTTTCGATCAACTTTAAAAATCGGTACGTACCAGCCATACCGACCGGTACGATACAGTTTTTACTTCTTTGATATAGACACTACTGTCGGAATTTCGGAGTTAGGATTGAGCATTGTCCAAAAAATAAAGTTAACATAAAAATGATTTCCACTTTAATTTGGATGACCCCAAACCATCAGTAAATCACCCAAGTTTTATGCATCTTCTTCTTGCTTAGAATGAAGATTTAGAGAGAAATTGATGGAGCCGGCTGATAGATTTACAAATTAATTTGATGTATTAGGCTTGAAAAAAGGAGATTAAGGTGGCCTATAAGTATCTCAGTGGAGGTGGAACACAAAAAGGAGAAGGGTGTAGGAAAGCAACTGGCAGAAAAAGAAGAAGAAAGCCACATTAGGTTGAGTGTTTTGTGGCCCACAAATGATTACATGTCAAGGTTTGAGACACATCTTATGTGGTGTCGCCGTGACATGGTAGACTTTCTCATGAGTTGGACCTGAATTGTACAACTGCAAGCCCAATTGGTTTTTAGTAAATGGCGGGTGCCCTACTCTAGTGGATAATGATTCATGCCTACCCCAACCTGTTGAGTTCATGCATTTTTTGGCTTAAACCAACTTTGAGCCCCTCACCTTACAAAATTAATAGGTTTTAGGCTCTAATCTTATAATATGACGTTTTTAACCCTTTACCTTACAAAGTTGGTAAGTTTTAACCTCTCACCTTATATTATGACACTTTTTGTCATTTATTTATACGAATTAAAGGAAATAACCCTTATTTAACATCAGGTTATAATATTTTATTAGTTATGTTAACTGATTGTTAGTTATGTTAGTTGACTGTTAACATCCGTTAGCATCCCATTAATGGAACTAACAAATAAAATTAAATTTAAATTTCATGTTTTTTATAATAAAATGCTAACAAATGTTAACAGTCAACTAACAAAACTAACAAAATGTTATAACTTGATATTAGGTGATGGCTATTTTCTTTAATTCGTATCGGTGATGGCTTAAAAATATCATAATATAAGATAAGGGGCTAAAATATACTAACTTTGTAAGGTGAGGGGTTAAAACTTACCAACTTTGTTAGATAAAGAGCTAAAACTGTCATATTATAAGGTGATGAGCTCAATGTTGGTTTTTACTACATTTTTTCCCTTTTTTGGAGCTCTTGACAATCTTTTTTTTATTAGTAGTTGACAAAGCTCAATTAATCACAATTTTTGGGCAAAAAAATCACCCAATTTAAATGAATTTTTTATTTTGTAATTTGGTATATAATAAATTATGTATAAAATAAATCATTAGATGAAGAATATTAAAAGGTTAATCTTTCGTTTAGTAATTTAAATTATGCACAAAAATTATGCACAACACTTCTTATAAAAAAAAAATTACACAATACTTTTTTAGTTTAAAATTAACAGAAAAAAGTGTTTTCAAGGGCAATGGTCAATGAGATCCACAACCATCTAGAACAAGCCAACAAGGTTGGTGGAAAGTAAGTACTGACTTGGTGTTGAATGAGAAGGCACCTAAATAGCGCACGAAGCAACGCGTCCGTCATTTCTCTTTAATTTTGTCCTTTTCTTCAAATAATTAGCTTAGATATAAGGTTTCGGCCTGTTTGGTGTGATTTGTGAGAGCTTTAGCTTTTTGAGTACTGTTGTGAGTGATAAGTTTAAATTTTTATTAGAGGAAAAATAGAGTTTTAGCTTTTAGGAAGGTGAAAAAGGGAGTGAAAAGTAAGTAAAAAATGAGTTTATGAAAAAGTTTGAATTTGAAGCTTTTAAACTTTTACTGTTTAAGAGCTTTTTGAGGTTAAAAAAATATTTAAAAGTGTAAGTTTTTAAGAGGGAAATTTAAATTTATGAGACATGAATAGTGTCCAAAAGCTGAAGCTCTTAGGAGCTGCACGCTTTCAGAGACTCTTTTTACATGATACATTATTTAAATTTTAAAATTTAAAATTTTTAATTAATTTTAATATAATTTAATTAATTTTAATCAATATTTATATATTTTGATATAATAAAAGATAAAAAAATATAATTACAATATGATATAACATAACATTAACAAATAAAATCATGCCTTTTTTTTTAAATAACTATTTTTTTATACTTTTTAAATAAGGTTAAACTCTCAATTTGGTCCCTCAATTATTGTACGGACCTTTAATTTAGTCCTTGAACTATTTCATTATTTGATCTCTATTGTTTATTAATTTGATTTCAAGTTGATCTTTTCGTAAAAAACATATAACATGTCTCATTATTAACGTGACACGTTACCATTAAATAACAATTTTCTACTATTAAGTAATTGATATGTGACTTGTTTTTTAACAGAAGAACCAACTTGGAGATAAATCGACAAACAATAAGTACCAAATTGGAGATTTTTTAGTTTAAGGATCAAATTGAGGTTTAACCTTTCAATAAATAAAGAATTTAGAGATAATTTATATATTTATTTATATTATCCCTAAAAAAATAGATAAAGATTAAAATAGAACTTTGTTAATAAAGTTAAGGTAGAAGAAAATAGTTAAGGTAGAAAAAAATATTTTTACCTTAAAAAATAATAATTAATTAAAGACAAAATTTAAATTAAAAAACTATAGTTATTTTTAAAATAAGTATCACAAGACATAAGATTGAAAGTTTATAAAAATAATATACTCCCTCCATTTCGTTGTAGTTGTAAATTTTTTTCTTATCACACTTACCCCAAAAAAAAAAAAAAAAACTACCAAATTCCATGAAACCACAATTATTATAAGTTAAAATTTCATATTTACCCTTAGTAG